TAAACGAGTACAAGGAGGTCACATGGTTGGTCAAATTGACCAAGCCCATATTGAGAGATTTAATAAAACATTTATCATTATCAAAATGTGATATAAAACCAGAACTAACACATAATCTATAAAAGCATGTAGCCACTGTGGTATGGAAGAAATGGGAATGAGGCAACGACACTACCAGTGCTTGAAAAAAAAAACATTAAGACAAAGCCAATGATAGCATGGGTTGAATGATTGTGGATTTTTTAGACTTTACAGGGTGTGGTAAAGTTGTCACTCAAAAGAAGAAAATGGTTGTATACAGAACAGCACAAACAGTGGCAACCTTACATGCAGCATCAACATGAACTCAGTATCCTGGTTTCAACAACATGTCTAATTCAATATTTATAGTACACCAACTGCAAAAGTTACTTATAATGTTACAAGCATAAAGAATTCTTAGCAAAAGGAATGTTCTCAATCACTGCTAAAATTGGCTTAAAAGAAAATATTTCAAATACAAGAATATTACTTGAATGCAATCAATCAATCCCTCAAAAAATTTAGACATGGCAATATTTTTAATTGATGAATGAATTAGAAATTAAATTTAATACTGTTAAGTAAGTAAAAAATTAGTTCCATAAAAAACATGGTTTCTGTTCAATGCCAATACAATGTATATGAATAAAATTAAAAACAGGTCATCTCACTTGCTTTATAAATTGATATGCAACAAAGTACATTTTAAGGCAGGATTACTTTTATCTTTCATTTTAACAAGTACTAAGTTAAAATATTGACTTTTAAAAATTCTCAAAGTTTTAAATTAGGTAAACATTACTTCTGCAGCTTTGTCATTTACAACAAATGTAAAAGGGACCATCTGGCCCTTCAAGGCTATCCTTGCCTATTCATCCTTGAAACAAGTAACAACTTAAACACATACTTTCTCAATCATGAATACATTAATTCCCTTCTTGAATTCTGCAAAAGTGCTGGCAACTCATTCCTTAAGTCAATCACCTTGTTAGAAAAATAAGTGTCACGAGTGGAGCCTGGCCCATCTTTCCCAAACTCAACATTTGTGTTCACTCATCCTGCTGTCTTCAGAAAACAACACATCATTCTCTAGGTTAATCTTGTAAACTTCACTAAGATCACTTCCTTCCCTTTTTTTCTCAAGCTAAAAGAAGTTAAGAGATCTTAAACGATCTCTACAATCATCACAGTAATCCTCCTCTGAACTTTTTCCAACAAGTCAATATCTGCTCTTAGATAAGACAAAAATTGTACACAGTATTCCAAGTGAGGCCTAACTAGTGATTTATATAGGTAATTACTTTTCCTGACTTGTAAATGCTCCTAAAATTCTGTTAGCTTTACCACTTGCAGCAGAGAACTTCCCAAGTCATGTGAAATGACTTATCTGCCACTATACCAAAATCCCCTTTCTTTCATCATGCTGTTACGTGAGTGTTCATCTAAATCAAACATATGATCCAACCTATGCTAACCCAAATACATAAACTTTGTCAAATTAACCAACTGATCTGAAATACCTCAAGATCCTCAATACAGTTAGAATACCAGTTTAGTTTTACTAATTATGCCCCTATCAGTATTATTAATGTACATAAAAATGAAAATTCTCAAACTCCTAGAGCTGGAAATTTTAATTGATTACCTATGTATGACCAGCGATTACACTGATTAATGTTCAGTAAACTATTCGATTAATGTCACAAAATTAGTCAACTAATCAGAATTAACTTCCATTATTAATTCTTTCATTTATTTCAAAAATCTATTAACCCTTCCATTGCACTGGGAAATATATGTCCAACCTGCAGTGAATGGGTTAATTAAAATTAAGATTAAAACAAAAGTCATGATAATAGTTAATTAATTGAAATGTTTCTGATTATTTACTGTTTTTAATTATTCTAGCTCTCCAAGCAAGGCCTAGAAAAAATGCCTTGTTTCATTTTACATTCTGAAAAAATGAATATTGAGCTGATTGGATTTCATCACTATCCTTTGCTCTACTAGTGCTTTCAACCTCTGCGGGCATTTTGGTTTAGGCCTACAGTGAAATTCAATTGATTTAAATCAAACATGTCTACTCATAATCATTCAAATCTAATTTAAGATGGCATGACTTGAACAAATCTTTGACTGTTCTAGTAAACGGTGACCGTCATTTTTAGGGAAAGACGACAGCCAATATTCTAGCTGACATGACAAAATGTTTGTCATTGCCTGAATGGAAGAAAGCTCAGCTTTAACTGTCTGAGAGCAGACACACACCACACCAACTACTGAATCAGAGACATGGTTTCATATGACCTTCACCTTGCACGATATGGTAACAAATTGGTGCAATGATTTTTATGAAAATAAAAAAATTAATAATTAAGTTGG